TCTTGCAACTGTATTTTGACATGGTAAAGTACCAGAGGCCTGTACCATGGCCAACTCCATGTATCAATACACCTTTTGCCCAAGAATAGAAAGGGAAAACAATTAAAAGCATATAGAGCCAAATATGTTTTTTTTCTGTTTTCCATGAAATATTTACTTACAAGGAGAGAACACAAAATGCCGCTTACAAAACATATTGCAAACCACTTCACTCGAGTATTAAAACTCAGGGATGATGCATCAAGGACCTTTGGGAGAAGAAAGAAAGAAAAAAGAAATTAGATTTTAATAGTAGGACAAAAATCTTTAATAAAACATCTTTACCAATGCAAACATCAAAATGCTCAAATAAATAATAACTGTAAAAGAGAGGTGCTGTTAAAGCCAGAAGTATTCTTCCATTTCACAAACTCTTTTAAAAAATATCCACTAACTTTATATGTAAATATCTATTAAATTTTCCAAAGGCAGCTTGCATTTTCACTTTAAATTAAATACCTAAAAAAATTAAATGTAGACTTGCATCACAGAAGACTTGCAGAATGAATTCTGGCAGACTAACAGTTTAATTACATAAAATAGAATAAATGAAGTAATCAGTTCAAACAACCACTAGAGATTAGATGCTACATTTCTATTTTATTTATTATGCACAATATACAGACTAGGCAGAATTAGAATGTTATTTATTGGTGATAAAAGTACTTTTTTCACATTTCCACTTCTCAAAATGATTAATTACAGACATTAAAAATAAACGGATGACAGCATAACATTTAAGCAGGCACCAGTTTCAAACATGTAATTTATGTTTTTAAAATAATTCTTTTGAAATGTGTAAGGGTACATATATGCTTATTGAAATTAAATAGTAAAAAGGACATGCTAAAATTAAAAAAAACCAAAACCCTATAATAGTCCAATCAAGTTAGTTAATCATTTGATAGCCATATACGTAAAATATAAATCAGGAAGAAAATTTAATTCCATATCAAATTGTAAGTGCAAACAGTCAAAATTAAAAATTTGCTTCACTTTTATTGAACATATGGGAATGTCATTTTTGAGTGAATACATGATGTATTATTATCATGCATAGACTGCAAAATCTCTAAGGACTCTTAGCAGTTTGCAAGAAAAAATGCACAAGTAATAATATACATTAAACAAAAGCATACAAATGAATGGTCTACAAAGTAATGGAAAAATAGAATGAAATTAAATTAACCAAACCATAATCAAGTTAAGATGGAATCAAGGCTCAAATGCCTTTCAGAAGAGTTCTGCTTAGAACAGCTTCTGGAAGGCAGTCAGGGTCGGAGCCAACCAGATGTCCACTGGAGGAGTTCCAAAGACTAATGCAACCACTGAAAAGCAGCACCACCTAGCCTTGGTCCCCTCACCAGTCATCATTAATAGTTTCTCCTGGGAAGAAACTGGTTGGGCCAATACTAATGGGAGAATGCAGTCCTGCAGTTAAAGACGTGCAAAGCCATTTAAACTGCACCCAGAAGCCTGTTTGAAACCAGTGCAAGGCCCAAGTACTGATGTAATATGGTCCCTGGGCAGCTGTCTGAATCAACTGCAACTTCTAAGTGATTTCCAAAGGCAGCCCCGTGCACAGCATGTTGCAGTAGTCCAAGTGGGTGATGGTGCGCAGGCATGAGTCACTGTAACAAGATCCTCCCACCCCAGGTAGGTTCACAACTGGTATATCAGCTGAAGTGGGAAACCCACTCCACTCCAACTATGACCTCCACATGCTGTTTTAGCAGGAGCTGTGGGTTCAGAAGAACCCCCAAGTTGCAGACCTGCTCCTTCTAGATAATGCCATGCCAATCAAGAGACACCACTGGAGCAGACAGAGAACCCTGATGGACAAACAGTAACTCCATCCTATTAGGATTCAGTTTAAGCCTGTACCCTCTTCCAGAACTTTACAGCCTCTAGGCACCTAGTTTGGCCTGAGGCAGCAACGTAAAGCTGGGTATCAAAACTCTGGATGACCTCCCCCATTGGCTTTATGTAAATGTTAAATAGGAGAGGGGAAAGAACCAACTTTGTAGTACTTCTCACAAGGGAGTAGCCATCAAGCTGATCTCTCCTGCCCTCCTTGCACCCAACTAGAACCATCCTCCAAGGAAGGAGCATAACCTGCAACATAATGCCCCCAATCCCTGCAAGCAGTCCAGAAGGATACAATGATCAATAGTAACGAAGACAGTCAAGAGGTCTAAAAGGATCAAAATGGACACACTTCCTCCATGCAGATCCCAACAAAGTTAATCTACTTTGCCAACTCTGTTTCAGAGTTCAGAACTTTCCATAAGCATGTTTTAAAAATTACTACGCAGAACAGTTTATTTGTGTTCATTTCCATTTATTTGTTTGGGTCTTAATAAATAAAGTTATTATATATACACACAGAGAAAATCATATATTAAATATATATAGTATCCATATAATATAATAGTTGTATATAATTATCACACACAGAGAACAATTAAATAATTAAAACCAAGAATCAATCAGATAGGTGCAATTAATAGCCCTCTCAGTGATTTGCAAGGTGGTATTTCTTAAAGCTAGATCCCAATGCTCAAGAAGATTTGGTCTACACACACAATTTTCAAAACTGGCACAGTGACTAAAGGCAAATTATTAGAAATGGTCTCCCTTATTCATAGTAATGAATGTGAAAGCTTAAAAATGTAATTAGTATACAGCTTACCTTTTTCAGTTCAAATCTTTATCCTTATACAGGCAGCACAGAGAAAAGAATATTAAAAATTTAACGAATGTAAGACATGTAGGAGAATTGTTCTTCCCTGAATAAAGTCTACACATTCAGAAATGTCTAAAGAAACCTGTCAATTTTAAATGCAACAAGCAAATCTCCCCCCAATACAATTATTTTTTTTTTAAGCAAACAGAAGTCCAGTAATTGAGAGTGTGGATTGAGGGAAGGAATCATATTTACTCAGTTGTAGGAGGGGACTCAATTCCTACAACATGGTTTAGGAATACTTTGGGATCCAATGCTGAAAATAACCAGGCTTCTGGACTCACATGACACCCTGGATTTTAGAATGACCTAGTTAAACATGTTGTACAAACAAGAATAGTTTGTGGTTGCTGTGAAAAAGGATACTTTCATGCTGGGAATAATTAAGAAAGAATTGAAAACAAAACTGCTATTACCAAAATGCCTTTATATAAATCTATATACAGCTGTACACAGTTCTGGTCACAGCAATTCAAAAGCAAGATTGCAGAATTTTAGAAGGGATAGGAAAGAGAAAGCAAAGTGACAGAAGGAGAACAGCTCCATGAAGAAAAATTATAATTGTACTAGCTTAGAAAAATACAAGAAGATGCGTGATAGAAATGTATAAAACTATGCATGATGTGAAGAACTTTTTTTCCCCTTCTTTAGTACTGGCCCTCAGGGCCATCCAGTATGTATGAATGCAATTAGGAAAGATAAATGCAAGTTCTTTGCCTTGCACTTAAAACTAAAGATCTCATGACCATGAGATATATTGATGGCAAAATTCATGGAGGGTAAGACATCTGTCAATATGAGTTACTGGGGAATGTGAACATCAAGATACTATTGCCCTCATATCTTGTTTGTGAGCTTTTTGGTTCTTCAAAAGTTGTGTTGTATTCCCCCAAAATGTGATGGTCCCAAATGAATTCATTTTTACATTTATATTATGCCTTTCTTCCATGACACTCAATTCTTCCATCCACACATGTACAGGGTTCCCAGGCTGGATCTCTCTGATGGCATTTTTGAATATTTGAGCATTTTAATTCAATCAGCCCTGTTTAATTCTACAGGTTTCAGGGAGGAGGGGGCAATTCATATGTAAAGTTACTAATTCTTTGTAAACACTATGGCATCATTTATGTTATTGCTTATACTTTAAGTTAGAAATTGGCAGAAAGGAAGGAGTAAGCCTGCTACTAGGTGAATATATTAGATGGTGATAGGTGGCAGGGAGAGAAAATGTTATTTGAAGATGTTCCTATGGAGACCCAGATAACTACAGATCCAATTTAAGGTTGGTAATGGGCAAAACTTTGGAACAGATTAAGCAGTCAGTTTGTGAGTGTTTAGAAAGGAATACATGGCAGAAGGAAGCATGGGTTTATCAAGAATAGGTCATGTCAGTCCAACCTGATCTCTTTTTTTGACAGATAGCCAGCTGATCACAGGAATGCAGTGGACATAGTACACCTTGTCTTCAACAAAGATACAAAAAATTTCCCATGGGATTCTAATGGTAGTGTAGTCCAGTCCATCAAAATGTGGGCTGGACTACACTACCATTAGATGGGTACAAAGCTGGTTGAACAATCATGCCCATTAAGTGCATGCCAATAGCTTGCATCAAAAGGAAGTGTTGAGTGGCATACTGCAAGGTTATGATCTGTACAATATCAAAGGCAAGGGTATAAGATGTGGAAGACTATGTCAGGCAGCAGTACATGTCACAAACTGAACATGAACCAGCAGCACAATACAGCTGCAATGCAATCCAAATCTGCATTAAAGAAGTACAGTGTCAAGACCAAGATAAGCCACTGTTCCTCTTTTCTGTGATGGCCATGCTGCACCTAGAACATTGCATCAAGCTCTGGGTACTGCATTTAGGAAAAATGTTGGCAAACAGCTGTGCATCCAGGAGATAGCAACCCAGATGACAAGGGACCTGAAAGGAAAATTTACCAGTAAGGTTGGGAGCATTTGGTATTTTTAGCCAGGAGAAGAGAAGTGTCCAGTGAATCATGATAGTTAACTTCAAGTACTGGAAGAACTAACATGTGAAATGTGGGATGGCATTGTTCAGAGTTGTCCCAGATGCCAAGAAAAGGAACAATGTATTTACAGTATGTACAAGGAAGTAAACTTCATTTAGATATCAGGAAAAAAATTCTGACCGTAACAGCTGTTCAACAATAGAACAGATTGCCCTGTGAGGTAGTAGACTCTCCTTTGCTGGAGATGCTTAAAGAGAGGCTGGATAGATATCCATTAAAAGTTCTAGTGCGTATTTTGAAGCTTCTTTCATTTCATGATACCAGCTCCATATATCATATCAGAAACTGATCAGGCTGACAACAGCTTTCCAAAGTTTCTGATATGAGCCTTTCCCAACTGTGCCTGGGAAGGTGTAAAATCTGGTCACCTCTGTAGCCAAAGCAGAGATTTACCTGCAGAGTAAATCATGGCCTTCTCAACAGAACCAAAGCACATGGCAAAAAGCTGATAACAGACTCCCCCTGCCCCACCATCATATGTATTTGTCAGAATGGAAAGGACATTTTTGAAGACAAACACAAAGCCTGTCAAAGTTTACAGATCTCCCACTTTGCATCTAAATAATGCAGGTTCTCATTTTCATCCAACAGTCAGTAACTTCCATAAAACACCTCCTACTCAGTTTTAATCAAACTTCTTTTAGTCCTGTTGCTGTTTGTTCTTTTGCTGGCATCCCAATTCGTGAAAGCAGTTGGAGGTGGGGGGGCGGGGAGACACTTTATCCAGCTAATTCAGAGTAGACTAGATTAAGCCACGTTCCTAGCCTAGCGTCTCCCCATGTACAAATACCATAGTCCGCACCTGGCACGGCCATGCTGACAGGGAATGACGGAACCTGTAATCCAGGGAAATTAGAGGAGGCCAGTCTGGCCCAGAGGACAGACTCCACGCAGCGGTGCCACCCGCATTTCTCAGAAGCCATCCTCCATTTGCTTATGCAAGCTGCTTACTCTCTAGGAAGGGTGCACAGGAACGCAACGCCGCGTTAGTCCTGAGGAAGCGGTCATCCCGCCAGGGCCTCCTGGAAGCGCGGCCAGAAACCCAGGGGGCAAAGCGGGAAACATGAAGGGACTCTCTCGCCTCCCCCCAGCCACACCTGCGCTGTCAGCCCCTGCTCCTCGTCGTCCTCTCCTCTCAGCACCCGCCGGAGCTTCTCCATCGCCACGACAGCCACCCCTCCGGGCCTCCGACCACCTCCGAGAAACGATACTCGCGCCCTGTTAAGCCTGGGCGCTTCAGTTGGAACAGTTTCTCTTCCCTCTTCCTTAGGAAGTGCCAAACCGGAAGCTGGGGGGCCAGAACCGGAACTTAGGGAACGGGGCGGGGCCTAGAACGTTCGCTTTCCTTGTAAATTACTCGCGAACGTAGTTCCAGGTTCCCCCAGAACAACTGCTAATTCCGCTCCCGTATACGTTGTTAAATAGTGTCCTCGGAACACTTCTCAACGAGTACGTGTCTGTTGCTCGGCTCTTTGTGATGCAATCAGTGCTTCTGAAGCCGCCACTATTCCAACATTTACGGTCCGCTACACTGTAAATCCAGCAGCCTGCCCAAAAGTGATCCAAGCAAAGCAGTAACTCGTTGAGACAAGCTGTTACAGAGCCTGGGCTGCGCTATGAAAGGCCCGTTGTATTGTATGGTTGGGAACGATGCTTCGAAGGCGCAGTTTGTTCTTCAGACATCCCAGACTGATGGGCTGGTACAGCTGGCTTGAGCCAGAGAAACCCCATTTTGTTCATCTTTGTTCTTGGTTGCTGCCCTTCAGGCCCCTTTATCCTCCACTGCAAATTCCTGAAACGATCATGTATGTGGTTGCTGTTGTCGGAGAGGAGAGCAACTACCATCTTAAACCGGAGCAACAGTAGATTTAAAGCCAACTTCCTGTCCCCTTTGGAGATAAATTAGCTAGGAGTTTTACATACCAGCCTTATCAGCTAGGGAAATATATAAGGGAAGAGGCTGCAACATTTAGCAAGGAGCCCACTTCTTGGGGGGGGAGGGGGCTCTGCCCAACTAGGGGTGTGAATAATTTACTGCTTATTGCCTAGTGCTTGCTAATGATCATGTGTTTCTCTTTTCACGAATGTATAAAGGCTATGCTAATTTACGTATGGGGACTCTGGATTTGTGACTTGGGTCCTGAGAGTGCCTCTTTATTGCTGCACAGAATAAACAGGTTGCAGTTTCCCCACTTGTGTGTGATTTTTTGCTCTTTGCACCAAGTGAAATAATTCCAGCTAATCCACTCTGTAACAAAAGTGATATTTTAACCCTGCTTGTTATTGACAGGGCAAAGGGCCATACTGTCCTCTTGCCTTTTAAGTATGTTATATAAACACTACTGTGTAAAGAGTCGGAGTGTGGTGGATAAAAATAAATAAATGCCTGCAGTAGGACTCCCACAGAACAGAGAGAATGCAACAATAGATTATGTGCCATCAAGTTGTTTTCGATTCCTAGCAACCACATAGATTTCCTCCATGAGCAACAATATAAGCTAAGCATAATTTCACAGAAAATCTGCATTGACACTGCCCAATAATGCCCCATATTCAGTACCTTGCATTACTCTTATCCTTCACTAATTCACCTAGCCTTTCATCATAAGCAGTGAAATCAATCATACTTTATATTTATTCCTTTCTATGTGAAAAGAAGACTTAGGCTTAAACCATATATTCAAAACAGACTTTTTTCAAAGTCACCCAACACTCACCATTCCTTTTTGTTGTTGTGTCCCCAAATGGCCCAATCATTTTTTTCTGTATTGTCTCATCTTGTTTGCACCCATTCATTCATGTCTTCTAACAGATTACCACCCCACCCCATCACATTAATTCAAAGCATTGTACAATTTCCCCCTACATTTCTCTGGTTCTTCTGTTCCATTCCATTCCATTCTGGAGTGTAACCTGCAATAATCACCAACCCATGGATTCATAGGTTATTATACAACCACAATCTATATCAGTGTTTCTCGACCTCAAAACATCTTACAGTTGCCAAGCAGAATCACTGATTGAGATGATACTAATTCATGATTTCTGATTTTTTATTTTTTTGGTAAGGAATCAAAAACTTTAAGTCAGTTTTTGACTCCTGGTGACTGCCTGGACTAGTCCCTGCAGTTTTCTTGGCAAGATATTTCAGAAATGGTTTCCCATTACCTCATTTTAAGGACTGAGAGCGCGCGACTGGCCCAAGATCACTTAGCTGGCTTTGTGCCTAAGGTGGGACTAGAACTCACAATCTTTGTTTCTAGCCTGTTGCCTTAACCATTGCACCAAACTGGTTAATTTCTGATATACCTTCAAGCTTTTTCATTCATAACTAAACCTACACCTTTGCTTCCCTGAATCTACTCATCAACTCCATTCCATAAAATCCGGCCACTTTCATTGGGATCTATTGCATCCTTTTCCTTCCTCTTGGTTTCCCAGAAACACAATATATGTACTGTATTTTCCTTTCTTTCCTTGTATTCCTTGATTCATGCTCTCTATTTATTCTTCTTATATTCTAATTCAAATTTTCCATATGCCATGTTCATCACAGATGGAGCCCTAGATACTGACCCCTCTGCCCATCATGGATCTGTATAATCAAGACTTTCATGTAATGCTTTTTTAGAAAGATAGAAAGTCACATCCATTCCATATGCAGCTTTCCTCATTAATGGGGAAGACAGAACTGGTCAGTTTGAGCACATTTTGGCTGGTATGCCGCAAGTACAACCAGAGTACCAAGAACTTTATCCATAGACGAAGAAGATATTTATGCAGGTTTGTGTGTGTGTGTTCCTTTTAAGCTGTGTTCTTTTTAAGGTGAAGAAGTAAGATTTGATATATCCTCCTATTTTTGCCACGTATCGTCATTTATGGGAAAAAACAAAAATTACATCATGGATGAACAAATCTGTTTCAGAAAATCTTCAGCAAGTTAGTTTTCTATATTAAGGACATTCCAATGCTATATGAAATCTGGAGGCATTCACCATCACCTAATGCTGCGCTTCCCAAAATACAGGAAACAGTCTCAACATCTTGTAAGGTGAATTAATCCATAAAAGTATTTTGGGGTGCATTTAATTATCTGTATTTATAATAAAACGGAATATAACTTCTGTACAGCTAGCCTATATCCCAAGAGCTAGGTTTCTGTGATTCAGCAGATTGCCCCATTTTACATAGACAAATATCTAGACTCAATTGATTATATTATTATTTTCCTTAAATAAAGTATATAAAAGCAGCAACATACATTTTATATGTTAAAGTGTGATTAAAATGCACTTTTACCATATCCTAATGCTGCAAAGCATATTATTATATATGCTGGAATTTGATCTAAAGCATACAGTGAATTAATAGATCTATTATTTTTGAAATCTCAATTTTGTGAAGAGAATTCTCATCACCTGTCTTTTCTTTTTAGAGAGAAATATATTGTAGTCTTCCATCATTAAAAACAAGATTTAATCATCATGAAAAGTCTGATAAAGTTTAGAGAATAGTAATGTAGCATTACAAATAGCTTACTATTTTTACACTCACATTCCTTTCTATTAATCAACAGAACCCACATCATCATCAGTAAATAACAGTAAAAAAGAAAATATGTGCGTGTTTTCATTGTTGTATTGGCCTGAAAATTGAAATTGAACATTGTATTGACAATGGAAAATGGATCTCAAATGTAAGAAGTTCCACCTTAAGAAGTACCATTTTTAAATTAACACTATTAAAATAATTATAAATTGTCTCAAAAGTAGTTTATTGCCATTAGAACATTCATATTGTAGCTTCTCCCCATAGGGAAGGTTTACTGCCCCAAAGTTGTCAAAGTAAAATAACATTGTTAAAGACAATCTATATATAGTACATTACAATTATTGATAAAAATCACAACAAAAAGGTCAAGTTAAACACAAATAATCTTTCAAAGATATTAATTCCTATATGCAATTTTTTTTGCATTAATAATATGGAATCTGCAATGAATGCAAAAATAGAATCATGCTATTTAGTTTATTTGTTACAAATAAGAGTTCAGGTGGATTCTTAAGGGAGACACTACTTATATCCAAATGGGATATAGGACTGTACCTACTTTGCTCACAGGTACATGTGATTAGAAAACATCCTGGCATTGAATGTATCATTTACAGAATGTCTACATACAAAGATAAGATGGCATATTTTACTAAACAATGCAGTTGTTAACCTATGTTTCTGACAAAAATATTGGGGTTTACAAAATTAAGCTCTGTGCCAATTTTATATTCTAACTGTAAATATAAAATAAGTCTGAACCAGGATACCTACTTTGTTGAAATCAGCTCATAAATCAATTGGCCCTTCACTGTCTTTTTAATTTCTTGGTGAAAACAATTTTTAGCTCTAAGTTTCCAATATGCAGATTAGCAGACATATCACGTTTAAATTATTAGTCTCACCGCAGTTAATTGAAGTACCCATTTTCAATCAGTACTGAATTGCTTATGTGGAGATTCGATAACCATTCTTGATTTTGTAATTTTTAAAGAATGGTGCTCTTGAATGCAAATACAATTTTACTGTACTCCAATGCACTTAAAGGGGCAGAATCACAATTTCAATACATTTGTGCATCTGACTGCCAAATAACCTACATTCAGTTTCAAAATCAAATTTTATTAATTGATTATGCCTTTGCTTGCTTTTTAAAAATTGGCAGTTCTTAACTTTCTGAAAAGTTGGTACCTATTTGAGATGAATAATTTTGTAAACATTAAAATATACTTTTAAGGCAGAAAGTGATCTAATTTTTGAATAGCTATGCAATACTTTGTACAAGGGAAGCTTAAAAAGTTAATGGATGATACTGAATGCTAGCAAGAATATTTTCATGATGGAGGTGATTAAAAAAAAAAAAAACAGCAACTATGATGGCAAAGTCCTTCCTTGCTTGTATTCTGTGAAGAGTAGCAGCTTTTCCATTTCCATCCATTAATCAAATACTCAATTCTTTTTTTTCAGACTGTCAGGAGGAATAAAAATGGAAAAGAAAAGGGTTAATTCATTGACAAAGAAGTTACGGTCCAGAGTATGTAAGAAACATAAAAATATTTGAAAGTTTTACTTATACTCCTAAAAGAAAAAGAAATAATTAGTCTACTCACTTATGTTTGATCAACCTTCCTCCTTGAATAAGTTGTGCAATTTCATTAGTGAAGTGACAAGCAAACAACAACCAGTTCCTGGGTTGCACCTTATATGCAAACCTCATAAAAGTCAAGGAATAGCAACTAAGTGCTGTAAAAACAAAGTCAAAGAGTTTAATGAATTCATGTTTTTAGATTTACAGCAACATTCACTTTTTGTTCTGCAAGTACTATGTTACTGCATTCCCAAACAATCTCACTTTACATAAATTTTACTATCTTACAATCATCATCATTATTAAAAGTCACAACTACAGCAAAATGTTGCAGGATGTGCTATCCTCTTAGAAGGAATGCCCCTGTTCAGGGCTCCTTTCAGTCAGCTGTGTCCTCCCCTAAAATTTTATGATCTCTAAGAAGCTCTTGCAAAGCAATCCATTTCTCTTGATATTATTTTCTAAGTGGCTTGACAGTGTGCTTAGATCTCATTGAGCTGTCTGAAATCAATACCCAAGAAACACTAAAGATAGTTTTCTTTTTGAAAACAAACAACAAACCCAGTCTATTTCAATAACCTCAGGCTGCTGAGAATGTAAGTACCTTACTCTTGCTTCTCAATAGCCTCATATAATTTATTTACTAATAGTGTTGAATATAGAGTCTAAGAAAACAACATCTGGACTTCTTTCAGTCAGGTTTCAAACCTGGGTATGGGACTGAAACAGCATTGGTTGTGCTTTTAGATGACCTCTGGCAGGAGCAGGATGGGTGCAATGCATCCATCCTTGCACTACTTGACCTCTCAGTGGCCTTCGGTACCATTGGCCATGTTATCCTTCTGGACCAGCTCGGGGGGTTGGGGGGGGTTGGCACTCTATTGTGCTCGTTCTCTTCCTTCCTTCAGGGCCAGTTCCAGTCACCGTTGATTGGGAGTGAGAGGTCCCACCCTCGGACCCTATTGTGTGAGGAACTGCTGCTGTTTATCATCTACATGAAGCCACTAGGGGAGGTCATCCATAGCTGTGGGGTGAGGTATCATCAGCATGCTAATGATACCCAGCTTTACATCTCTGGCCCTGTGAAGTAAGTAATGCTGCTGACATCCTGTCTCAGTGCCTGGAGTCTGTAGGTGTTTGGATGGGAAACAAGAGACTTCAACTCAACCCTGGCAAGATTGAGTGGATTTGGGTCTTAGGGCCTCCTGGATCTGGGAATTTAGTTCTGGAGGGGTAACATTACCCCAGACAGAGCTGGTGCACAATCTGGGGGTCCTTCTGGACTCATGACTCCTCTCGAAGAGCAGGTGGCAGTCATGGCTAGGAGGGCCTTTGTGCAACTTCAGGTTGTGCACTAGTTTTGGCCATTCCTGGACTGGGAGGCCCTATGCTTAATCACTTATGCCCTGGTCACCTTCCATATGGATTACTGTAATGTTTCTACACAGGGCTGCCCTTGAACATCAATAAAACCAAATCTAAAGTGATGGTATTTAGAAAAGAAAGTGTGAAATATAACTGGCAGCTGGATGGGAAGCCTATGGAACAAGTGAATTCTTTCACCTATTTATGAATGGCCTTTACCAACACAGGGTTGTGGGCAAATAATGTTAAAAGAAGCTCCATGAGGGCTGAGGCAAGTACCAACAAATTTTATAAATTATTTACTTACAAGTACCCAGGTACCTTGATCCCCATAAAGCAAGTATTTAGGGAAAAAATCGTCTCAATGCTGATCTATGGTGCAGACCTGTGGAGTCTTACAAAAACTACCTCACTTGAACAAGTTCAGACCCATTTTTAAGAAAAGCATATTGGGAATTGACAAGAACACGTCAGCCCTCTTGGTCGGAGCAGAAACAGGTATCCACTCCATACACAGCCACTCAACAATCAAATTTTTTACCTATTGGCAGAGGATCCATTCAATAGATCCTGATAGGCTACCCAAAATATGTTTAGCTGAACAAATAAATATGGCTCAGCCTACCTTCTGGGTAAGCTGACTTATCAAAGTTAATTTACAGCATGGGTTTTCCAACCAATATTTACTCTCAATTGCCTCCCAGGCAAAGGAAAATTTTAAACAGAGATTCCTAGATATCAGTGCCCAAATAGACATGGAGTTATTGGCAAAAAAATCTATCTTTAAATTGGTTGGCTAAGAACAAAACCACTTTCCAAACCAAAAAATACCTGTCAATGAGTTTGACGAATTCCTAAGAAGGGCCTATTCTAGAGCAAGATTTCAGTTGTTGGATTCCATGACTAAATATGGGCGCTTCCATCACTGGCCATATCACGAGAGGACATGTATATGCAGTGCCCAGCCATCTAAGACATTGCTCAAGTTTTGTTCAATTGTCAACTGTTTGCCCTTTTCGGCTTAGATATTTAAAATCCCTACTTGAAAGAACAGCCCACTGGAACCTGAATCGCAAATTGTCCTATTTCCTCCTTGGCTCTAATGTATAGATTGTTAGCAGATCTGCTAAGCTTATAGACAAGGCAGTTCAGCTAATAATCTGTTATGTTGAACAGATTGGGGTATCAGATAAAGGTGATGTATTTAACTGGATGTTGATTCTTTGTATTTAGAACATACATATTTTTAAATTGTATTTTCTTTTACCTGTGAAAGCAAGTTTGGTCTAGTGGTTAAGGCTCCAGCTAGGAATCAGGAGACTGTGAGTTCTAGTCCTGCCTTAGACATGAAAGCTGGCTGGGTGACTTTGGGCCAATCACTTTCTCTCAGCCCCCAAAGTCAGGCTCAGGTGACAAGGCGGTCAGTCAATTCCTGTTGCAACCAACGGATCAACATTCGGTTGATCCAAAAAAAAAAAAGTGGACCCTGCTCATGTGAGAAAAATGCTAGGATAATTTTTTTTTCTTTTACCTATTTTATCCTGGAAATAGACCTTGTATTTTACCTTTATTTTATTTTTTTTGATATGGTTGTAAGACTACTCAATCAACAAACATTGCAAATTCTGCACATCTAGGTAGTCTTTTGGCAATTTAGAAACTATTCTGTTTCAAACTGAAATTTATTTCATGACTTGCCAAATGTCATTCGGCCACTGATGATTTCTGGTGATTTCTTCATATCACTGATTGCAGCAATGGGAAGTCCCCAGTTGGCAACAGGTCCCCAAAAGTGCTGTAATAAAGGCACATTATAAGAAAAGGAAGTTTACCTTTTGCCAATTCAAAAATATTTTAAAACCAGATTTTTTAAAAAACAGGAGTAGATGATTGTGGCCTTTGGTCAATGTAGTCCCCATTTGGAGGCAGGGGTTAAGGGACACATTTTGTCCCTTAATCTAAAACACATATATAATATCACTGCTATAGCCTTTGCAACCCCAAGGAAATCCACAAAAATAGAAGCACGGTCCCTAGGTTGAAAAAGGTGTCTACTTCTGTCCTAGAAATAGTGATAAATTAATAGATAATACATTGGCACTATTCCCATAACATATTTGACCCTAACCAAATCATCAGTGGTTGTGGCAGCATTCAGTCATATCAATTGAGTTAAACATAACCATTTGGGGAACACAAAGTCCCTGCCCAGTTTTCTCCAGGAAGTACCTAGTATCCTATAAGCCATTATACCAGAACAGAACTGGAAAGCCTTCATGGCATTACTAGCTCCTTCTCCATTGGCTAAGCAGCCAAGAGTAAGCACAGTTTGGCCACTGTAGCCTGTCAGTGTCTGGGAGGTGTTCTGTGTTGCCAAGCCTTGACAATTCAGTTCTGCAATAGAGAGGCCTGCTTTCTAGCCACTTTTTCTCCAGCTTTTTTTCTTGGAGGATTAGGTATGCAAAATGTTCAATTGCCAGGGGATAGTTCCTGGAATATTGGGATAGAGGTAGTATGTAAATAAATGCAATAAATATATTCATATACAGTATGTTCCCATTATATGACTGACTGACCAGTAGGCATAACTCTGAATGCCTCTGTTTGTTTAGAACTACACTTAGCGCCCGACAGAAAGCAGAGTGGGTCAATTTAGCTTTTGTGTGTGTGTGTGTGTTCTCATAAACATACTATCTTCCCTTGATCCAGATAAGCATGTACAAACATGTGGTGCAAACTAATTTGAAAGAACTTTACTGAATACATTTTTATAGATGTATAAGCTACATACATAGCAAATTACTTTTCCATCAATTAGATTAATGAGTTAATTATATTCACTAACGCTTTTAAGTGAGGTACTACTGAAAGGAATAGCAATACAGAATTTTCCTTTTTCACAAGAAAACAGCTGGGGAAGCAGGCAGCCTTCTGTCAAAATTTCAAGTTTTATTTTGGGGTGATCTCCCAGGATATCCATTAATTGGAAATAATTTTGTTATACTATGAATGAAATGAACTTATCCTGGGGAAGAGCTGCACTTGAACTTAAAGAATACGAGGACTGGCACAATTACAAGTGGCTGAAAAGAAGCAAAAATAATACCTTACCGTACTGTTTGATGAGCAATCATAATGGTTCATCATTGAAGAGGAAACGTGAAAGAGAAGAGAGACAATTGCCTCCATGAAATAAATTCCATATATAAATATTCATTTGCTTTTATTTGTATACATCTAGTCCACTTTATTATTAAAAACAATTTAAAGTAGAGTACAATTCATTTAAAACAGCTAACAATGACAAAATTATACCACAACAGAAGTCTAAAACAACTTTAGCAGTAGTTTAAATAATTTTACAACTCTAAAGCAAAGGACAATAATAGAGCAGACTGACACAGCAGAACCAGTTTAAGCAAATGCCTACATGAACTTAAGAGATCTGCACCATCCAGACCTGCGTATCTCTGATAAATGTACTCCCTTGAGGATGCTTTCACTAGATCTTAATTGACAGATAAGTACGTAGGAGAGAAATGTTATATATCCAGGTCCTAAGCTGTAGGACCTACTTATCAGAGCTGTAATACAAAATTTTAATTAAACTGACTTAATGGATTTGATTGATGCTGGAGGAAAGGAGCAGCATGGAAATTTTAGATGGTACCTCCTTTCCACTCTGGACTCAGCTCTACTATCATCACAACCATCCCCAAATTACAGAACTAGAGGATTAAGAATTTTTCCAGTAGCCTGATTGATGGTACAATAAACTGGCACAGGGGAAGAGAAAAATCAACATTTGAAACTTCCAAGATCAATTAATTTAGATACAATATGCATGGCTGAGGTATATGGAGTTTATCCTAAATTTAATGTTAATAGCTATATGATACCTACTATAGCTTTCCCATTTGATAAAGGTAAATAAATATATTACAGTCTCACCACACAATATGAGGCTTGAAGGACTTATTTTTTAACTGAATTTCTACATCCACCAGCCACACAGTAATACAAAATATGTTCTCTTTATCTCTGGATTAGGAAAAATAATTATGCTAAAGTAAATAAGAATACGAGCAGAAGGCCCACAGAAATATTGATTAAAAACTGTTTTAATTTATTCCACATTCCTTTAAATATAATGTTGATACAATTAAATCTTATTACAAGCATACAATATGTGCCTTTACTGTCTTTATAAATAGTTCAGTCACACTCACACATATCCGAGTTACCAATTAAACATGAGTATTCATCTCAGCTTTTCAATCATGACAAGGCTCAGGGCCTGGTGGGGTGGGAATAATGCATGCTTATTGATATTGATTTAAATACAGCGAGTCCCATAAATGTGTGAAAATCATTAGGCAGCACCTTGAAAAAAAAGTTCCACCACTTGTCCCCTGCAGCAAATTATTAATAAGAAAACTGGAAAAAAATGTGACGTGCAAACTGATGACAGGGATCATATGATACCAGTGCTGAAAGAGCTACATTGGCAGAACCATCCCTAGCTCTATCAGATATGCTCAGACAGAAGCAACTTCTACAAGGCTGAAATAATGTAAAAAGATAATCAAAGATTCCATGTTATGTTTGTGCAATAGATGTTACACAAGGGACAAACCTATTTTTTCTAAAAATCCCATACCCATTTTTTCAAAATTCTCTAAATGTTTCATAGCAACTTTATTTTACTCTAAAGCTAAATTGCCTTGTTGGCATTAGAGATAAATCTGACTGGCAAAATACAATGAGCCAATCAACAGCATGGCCAGTATGTTTCTGATAATTATAGCTGTTATACCACTACAGAACAATGACCTATATTTTTCTTATCAACCATTTCTACCTGAAAACACAGGAAGCAAGCATAGAAATCAATTATCCAGAAATTAAGTACTATATATATTTCAAAATGTATTATTAAAAAGGTGTTGATTTGCAATCTGTAAGTGTATTAAACTATATTGTAATCTTTTTACATTCAATAGTGGGGCAAAAAAGTATTTAGTCAGCCGCCAATTGTGCAAGTTCTCCCACT